GATACCCGGCAGGTAATTAATTCACTGAATGAATGAATGAATGAATGAATGGAGTCTGTACTGTGTCCTTGGATATACTGTTATAACTTAAAAGCAGCATCCTTATTTGGTTAAGTTAAGACTTTTATATTGAGTTGACTTTTTTCCCCCCAAAGTGTATGTTTTTATTTCAAGAGTTTATTGGGATGTCCTTTGTACTAATACTATTTTAAATGACAGTGATACAGTGATAAATTAGATTTCAGTCCTGTCTTCAGGAAACGTGTAACCGAGTAGTATACACAACATACTCAAGCCTAACGGAAATGTGTACCAAGTACCGTTGCTAACTAAGAAGAAGGACCTATCCAGATGGCCTGCAGCAAGAGAGAAGAATCAAGAAAAACTTCATAGAAAAGGTTTCCCTAAGACTGAGTATTGAAAGTTGAGTAGAAATCTGCCCTGTGAGTGGGAAGGCAGTCTAAGTGGAAACGGCACGTACAAAGTCACAGGCACATGAAACCATGTGGTGCTTAAGGGAGACTGAAAGCAGTGTGGTTTTGCGAGATAAAGCTGAGAGGTGAACAGGTACCAGGCCTTGTATACCACATAGTGGGAACTGGATTTTATCTTGAGATAGATGACAGTGCAAAGGCAGTGTGGGTTTGCACTTTATAAAGGTAAATCTGATGGCAATGGGGGTGGGGTGGGTGTTGAGGGTAAGAAAACCAGTTGAAGAAACAATTGGAATAAATCTGGCGAGAAACTATGCCAGAACTAAGGCAGTGGCAGTAGGGATAGGGAATACTTGGGGATTAGAATTGACAGAGTTTAGTGAGAAGATGATGATGGTCCCAGATTTTCTCTTTGAGTAGGATGGTAGTATTTTTCAAGTGAGACAGGAGGAGGACACAGTTTGGGGGAGGATTATTTTAGTTGTAGTTATGTTGTGTTTCAGGGACCCGTGGAGCATGAGATGAAGAAGTCCACCGACATTAGGCAATTGTATAGATGGCTTTGAATATCCACCAAAAAGGACTGGAAGGAATGGTCTAAGAGGTAGCAAAGTAATGAATTTGGCCCCTTTTGAGGGATAAATGGACTAAACATGTTCCATGTCAGTTTGGGCATCAGAACTAGTCTCAATCCTTGAAACCAGGAGTTGAGTTCGGTTCCCTCACCACGACCCCTGTTCTCCCAAGCTCCACGTACAGAAGCAGCAGCTCCTCACCCAACACCACCCTGCCCATGATGGGAATCTGAAACTCACTAGTATTGACAGAGGCCTTGGAGACAGGAGGACTCAGACAACAGCCACGAGATCAGGAGCTAAAACAAGGTGCCCCTGGCCCAGAGGCTGGATCTGCAGTATTCTTAATATCCAGAAAGGAAAGGCGCTCCCAAATGACAAGAGTTTCAGGTCATCCTAACTTTTAAATGCCAAAGCGAAAGCAAAACAATGAATAATATCTATTGTATTTAGCAACTGGGATTGATGGGAAAAAATCAAATTGAGATGATTAATAAGCGAATGAGAGATAAGGATGTTGAGACCACAAATAAAAACCTGCCTTTAAAAAATCTTTTAAAAAGCTTGACTGAGGGAAAGGGGAGGGAAGACTCAAAAACTTGAGGAAGTTTTAGGATTAAAGGGGCTGTTTTCAGGAATGGACAGACTTGAACATTTTTACAGAATTCCAAAATGTTCAGCTGAGGTAGAAGTGACCTGAAACTGCATAGATCTTGGAACAACAATTACTCTTGTGTATCAGTGGCTGAATAAACCCCTCTACCTATAGCATCCGTCTGTGCTCCTTAGGCATTTGTTATTATATGCGTTAATTAAATAGGCTGCTTCTTGCCCTTGTCTGGGTACCCCATTTATAGAGCTGGACTTGTGGCACCCTCCTGTGTGCCCCTAATCTCATGGTCTGTGTTCGCCTCCTGGGAGAACCTTCCTGGCCTCCTCACTGGTGTTTTACTCCTCCGTCACATCTGCTGCTTCACTTTAACTATCCTTTTCTGATATCTTGCTCAAAGTTAGGCCAGTTGCCAGTAATGTAGGCATCCAGGGTTTTCAGTGTTATTTGTGACTCAAAAGTTTATAGTATATTCTTAATAGTCTCCATCCCAAGAATTATACTGGATATCGAACAGATAAGCAGTGGTAAATCTAGGAAGATCAGGATGAGGAGAGGGAAGACAATGGTCAAGGAACCTTATCCATGTTGCTTGAATTTTTGAAACGAGAATTAAAAGTATATTTAAAAGAATCATGCTAAATAATGGTGTGAAAATTAAACTCTACCATATCAGAGGTGATATGAATATAGTTTATCGAGTGTGTATTCTTTAAACTTTCTATATTCGGTAGGAAAGATTCAGTTCTAATTACATCCTGTGGGTTTAGTTAGATACTTGGCTGTGGAGGAACTCTTGAAATCTACTTGTGGTTTAGCACAAGGGGTTGATTTAGTCCAAGATCCACTGAACCTTCCCATCCTCCATGTGAATTTCCTGACCAGGCTGGTTACCATGCAGGAGAAGAGAGGAAACTGGAGTGGTTCAAATGCTGCAGCTGTCTGTGATCAGATGGTAGAGTTACAGTGTAGTTATGAACATTTCAGATGGTGTTTTGAAGGAATTTGCCATACCTCACAAAGAGAATAGTGCTGTAGATAACTTTGACTAGATGGTTTCGAATGTTGATTTTAGAATTAAATTTTATGTTTGTCTTGAGTTCCGAGAACATCTGATACAGAGGTTCCCAGCCCTACAGAGGGAATAATGAAGCTGGTTTCCAGAGCTCTTGGAACACTGCCCCGTTTCCCTCGCCGGCCTCTTCTCTGCTTTAACTCCTTTTCCTTCACTGAACGCCAGCAAGCGTCTGGGGCCAACTGCCAAGCAGGCGAGGGACTGAGCTGGCCACTGTGTCCTAAGCGTGTCTGTTAAGAAGATAATGTAATAAAGAGCTACTTTATGAAATTGGTACAGAGTTTAGACTATTGATAAGTGTAGAGAAAAAGTCATGTTTAACCTGGGCAGAAACTAATCAGAATAGAAAACTGAAAATTAATCAGGGTTGTTATCTTAACAGTCTGTGGTTGACAAAAACTTAAAGAATCCAGTCTTTCTCTGAGGCGCTGAGGTTAGCACACAGCCACATAGTTCATATCCTCCGCGAGGGCCAGACCCATCTTGGAAGTTGCAGCTAGCTGCTTCAACTTTCCACAGTGACATTTAATGGGGAAGCATCCACACTGAAGTATTGAGTTATTGAGATCACGTTGGGATTTGGTTCAGCTTCTTTTATTGAACTCCTACCCCGATACCCGGTTCAGAGGTGTGTAACTGTCAAGGAGCTCCTGCTGAGTGAGGAAAACAGCCCCACAGATATTACCAATGTTATGTGCTGTACCTCAGAGGAGGGACACTTAGTGCAGCCAAGGGTTGGGGGGGGTGTCCCGAAACTTTTCAGGAGTCAACACTTGAGACATATCTTAACAGAGGAATGGAAGGGACTTAGGCACAGGGCACTCAGAGACAGGGCGCATGTACCGTGGGGCAAGGCGACCATGTACAGTTCATGTGAGCAGAATGTGAAGTGATGATGGGGCTAGAGAGATCCTGAATTTTACCCTAAAGATAATGGGAAGCTCTTGAGTGAATTATATACTCAGAGGTCAGATGTGCTGTTTAAGAAAAGAATATTGCTGGGACAACAGTGTGTATAGTAGGAAGATAGGGATGATAATTAAAATATTACTAGTACTCATTACAGCACAATTCCATCTGAGACTTATTTATTCACACTTTAAATACAAGCTAACATAGAGATAATGACAGATCTGAGGGCACGATGCTTTTAAGATTCACTAAAGCACCACCTCAAACGTTGTGACATACAATGAGATTAAAGCTATAATTTACAATCTGTAGCCATGGGGGATGGACTGTACTTTCTTGGACAGAAACATTAAGTCAATTGCGAAACTAAGGGGCCAATTTCCAAATAGTTACAAAGCTTTCTGACAGCAGTGTGGATGCTTATCACAGATAAGTTTCTGCCAGGCTCGTTCAGCTTTTGCCCACCTTCACGTAACACAGAGAGGTCCAACCTTGAGCAGGATATCCTTCTGACATTTGTTTTTGCCATTGTAAAATGAAGGGTCTGCCTTGGGATCACTAAATGCCTAATAATATAGGACCGTAATTCATATATATAGAGAGACGGTCCATCATGAAATGAATATAATTTTCACTGCATTTATTAGCAGCTTGCTATGATCCATTCCAGTCATTCTTTGGGAATTCTTGGGAGCAAGAATAGGCTCAGGGATACTGGCTAAGAGGCCTCCACAAGTGAGAAATGATGATGGCAATGAAAATGAAGAATTACAGGTGGCTCTGAGATACGTGTGGTGAAGCGGGAATGACAGGACTTGCTGATGGGCTACGAGAGGACGGGGTAGGGTGTGAAATCCAGGATGAACCTGACACAAGCAACTGGGTGGAGGATGGCACCTTTGAGACAATGGAGACGGGAGAATGAGGTCTGGGTGGGGACGAAGAGGGCAGTTTGGGACATACTGAATGAATCTCAGGTGATTATGATACGTTCTCCTGTCAAATGGAGAAGTTGAAAAGGCAATTTGGTATTTTTCTGGTAGAACCAATAAGGTAAAATAAATAATAAAGGTTTGGCATAAGTTTTAATGTTTCTTCAGAAAGTATTTAATTTCATGTTCTTAATAACCACTAGCATTTGTTGGGCATATGATCGATGCCCTGCCCTGTCTTAAGTGTTTTACACATTTTTCATTTAAACTTCCAAAGAGCTCTACGAGGAACATGCTATGCTGGGTGTAGAATGAGGACGTTGAGGCTCGAGGTTAGGGCACTGGCTAAAGCGTCAGTAGCTGGCAGATGGAGGAGCCTGGGTTTGTACTAGGCCACCCGGAATTCAGAACTGGTGCACCTTGCTGCAAGCGCGTGACTCACCGTGATTTATCTCTTTTCAGGGTTTTGGTTTTTGCACTGAATGTAGCCTAGACTCATCTTCCCGGGCGTGCGTTGCCCCAGGATACTGTCAAGGGTAAGTTTTTAAAATTCGTATCTACCTAGTATTGGCAATGAAATGGAAGAGTCTTCATCTTAAAAAGAACAAAAGTATATTTTGACGTTATTGCTCCTTTCCAGAGTTCTTAACAGAAGGGCATTCAGAGTGGGCATCGTATCACATCAGCCCTTTGCATTTCTACTTTGGTAGAAAAGCACTTGTATTTAGATTGATAACGACATTTGGTGTCTCATTCTTTTGTAAAGCTAGAATTTGTTAATGGGATTTAGCAATTCCACAGTTTGATGCGAGCGTGTTCCTGTCCTCTCTGCCCCTAGTTCTGCGCCTGCTCTACTCCGCAGACCTCATTGCTGCCACAGTTAGCTTTCTGAATGATGGATTCACTCACGTCACTGCTTTGCTTAAACGGCTCTCACGGCTCCCAGTTGCTGCAGATGTCCACACACAAAGCCTTCAAAACCTAATTCCAGCCAATGTTTCTGGCTCCTTTTTTATTGAACCCCTATCTGTAAGCCTTACCAGACCATTTTCTATGTCCCAGATATTTAGTTCTTTCTCTCAGCTCTGTAGCTTGGTTGACGCTTTTCTCTTTGCTTCAGTTTGGAAGAGGAGAGAAGAATGCAACTATCTAGTCTTTGTTCTTGTATCTTTCCTCTTGTCGCCTTCTCCCAGACTCTCCTTCATCTGTGTTTTAGTAGCACTGTTATTATTACAGTAATACAGCATTCATTATTTTACATTAGAGTTATTTATTTGTATTCTTTCTCCTTTACTAGCCTATAAACCCTTTGAGACTTCTTGGAAAGGGATTAACTGTGTTTTTTAGTGCCCATTGGCTGTTCCTGGACACTTTACTCAGTACAATACATATATTAATTTAATCTTTACAACACCTCCACCTGACCAGTTTTATGGATGAAAATAATGAACATTAGGAAGTGAAGTAACTTGCCCAGGATTACAAAGCTAATAAATGTCAAAAAGTAATGATTTTGTTCCTTCAAAGCCAAAGCTCATCCTGCTATATACCACACTAGCCAGCGCCATCTGGTATGTAAATATTTATTGAATTGATATCTACTGCAGTTTAAGAGAAAAGGACTTTAGTTGAGTAATTCAGTCATTTTTACATAGAAATGTATTAAATACCTATTAAATGCCAGGTACACAGTTTTAAGTAAACCTTGAATACAGAGATTAATGAGATATGTCTGGTATCAAAGGTTGACAATCTAACAGGCAAGACATCTATGCAAGCAAATAAATCCAATAAAGTGTTGCAGATCCTATAATAAGACTCAAATAAGATCTCCTGGGGACACTGAGGGAGGAATCATCCATTCTACGTGGAGATGGATCATTCATTCTACGTGGAGATGGATCAGGAAATAGTTTCTAAAAGCTGAATCTTGAATGAGCAGTAGGATGTTTCCTGGTGATATCAGAGGAAGGAAAGGCAGAGGGAGTAATATGAGCAAAAACATGGAAACCTGAAACAATCTGGCATATTTGCGAAGCTGTAAGTTGTTCAGTGTAGCTGAAACAAAGGGAACAAAGAGGCCTGGCCAGGGTCCCTGGAGAGACAGGTGAGAGCTAAATCCTGGAGGGCTTTGAAAAATATTAACATATTTGCCAGCTTTTAGAGAAGACCTAGCACAGTTGCTGTATAACGTTACTCATATTTGGTCATTAACATTTGTTGAGTTCTGTCCTGTGTGTGCTGAAGCACTGTGCCAGGTCAGAACTATCTATCACTTACCGTGTATGGCAAACTGGTGACAGCTCTGGTGAAATGATGTGCTGAAGCAAAAATCAAATGCTTATGTTGTCACATCATTTTTGACAGCTTTACCACTTGTTCACCCCTCTAGTTAATTTCCACTCAAGTGGACTTTGCCTTGACTTTTTCATCACTCTGTTAGCGCTGATACACTGGACCCTGTGTCACTTTCCAAGTGGAACCTCTAGCTTAACCATATACTTTTGCATTGCCTGTTTTATTCTCTCTCCATTTTGTCAAAAGGACACAACTAGCCATGCCTTCAAACAAGAATGTCATCAAAGCTTTTTCAAGAAACACATCAAAGAAAATATTAAGGCTAGTTCCAAAACAACAACAAAAAAATGAGAGCCAATTAAATAAAAGGCAAATAGACAAATAGAAAAATAGGCATTGATATGCATATAGTAAGTAAGCAGATTATATTATGTTACTCAAGAAAGATTTTTAGAAATACAGATTGACTGGATATTAGATGGATAGAGATGTGGATTGGTGATGGGGGAAAGGATTTTAAATAAGGTATGGACCACATAGGGAGAAATTAGCCAGTTGTGTGGAGAAAATGGAAAGAAGACTTGCCCGAGTGAAGTGGGTGGAGTACAGTGTATGCACTGGGAGTCACTAGAAATGGAACCAAAAAGCTTACGAAGTAAAATGTGTAATGAATATTATGGTAATGGGATAATCAGGAAGATAGCCTGATGTAAAAAACATCTTAATTTTGAGGAAGATAAGTTTCAGATATAAGTTGAAATTGAAGGGGACCCAATAAATATTATTCTCTTCCCTGCCCAAATTCTGAACCAGCGGAGATAGAGGCTGAAGGAGTAAGGCAGGTGGAGATTAGAATTTCACTTTATTACTAATAAAGTTGACATAGGAGAACTGGCTCATCTCTGAGGGCAAGTTGGCTCCTGAATACTGAACTCCAGAGCTTAGGTTTCCTCTCCCAGCAGAGTCTGGGATAGACCCACGTCCTAGTGGGAAAGAACAGAGCAGAGAAGGTCCCCCCAAGGGAAAGGGGAGAGAAGGAGCTGACTTTGCAAGCCCAGTTTACTCTTCCAGGCTAACTGATCAGACTGCTTGACTCCTGACAGAAGGAATCAGGGAGGCCAGGAACAGGAAACAAACCGATGTCTCCCACAGGGAGGGAAGCGTCAGGAGTGGAGAAGACGGTTTCCTCCGCTAAAACTCACTAGCTTTTGTTTCTCAGTGCTTTGGACTTAAGCAGTAGGTCTCGGTCTGCTGGGCTGTGCCTGTCCCCTTAGGGCAGGGGACATTCCTGTTCCTGCTTTCATGAGGACAGACCCCCTCAGGTTTTCTGTTTGGAACCATTAATAGATTTTGTCCCCAGATTCTAAAATGGATCAGAACACAAATTATACGAACTTCAAAACTAAACCAAGTCATTTCAGCACTGTCCGCACAGCCATCAGATTCAGAAAGGAAGCCTCCCTCCATCCAGCCCAAGAGCAGTATTTCTGATAAAATTTTGTTTGTGGAATGCAGTATTCAGCCTTGCCAAAGACTGTAGCAGAGACACATTGGTGACTGAGGGAGGGAGGCTGGGTGAGATCCTCTTGGTTTGAGCCTCACCAAGATAACCAGTTAGTCCATTCCAGTGTCCAGAATTCATGACTTGGACACTTCCACCCAATTTTGAAAACTCTGCCAGCAAGAGGTTAAATTTGAAACTGTGCCTATACCATATCTGGAAAAAACTCAAGCAATGCACACTGTCTTTTCTTTTAAAGATTAATATTTGAAATATCACCTTTTTGCAAAATTTAAGGATTTATAGTAGTGGCACCCCCAGTTACCAAGTTCCCTCCCTTCCTCTATAAATTCCCTCTGTCCCTGCCCACCTCCTGCCTCCCTTCTTTCCTTCCTTCCTTCTGTGAAATATAGTGAGAACCCTCTTAATTTCCATTTCCCCTTTGAATTGCCTATGTAAGCCTAGCACAAACAATTTAAATGTAAAAGTTTGCCGGTTTTGTAGTACATGTGCTATTTGAAATTCAGCTACCCTGCAACTTACATGCAGCAAATAATTGTTCTACTCGCTAATATCTAAAAAGACCGTATGAAGAGAGTCTTTTTTCCTAAAGTCTAATCTTTGCCTCAGCCATGCCTGCTTAGGAAAAGCTGTGCCTGCATAATTCAAGGTCAGGCAGGCAGCAGCCTTCTGTACTTTGAAGCCACCCAAGCCTGCTAATGCCCTATTCCCTTTGCTGAGGCCAGCACAGCTGGCATTTGCTTGCTAGGCCAGAGTGGTCAGTGCATGCTGAAGCCACTTGCGCAGCTGACATTTATATGAGCCTTCAGCACCACCACCATGGCCTACTGTGGCTTGTTTCTTTGCTGAGGCCTTCGCTGAGGCTCATATGCCTGATGCATGCAGCCTTGTCTCTGTAGAAACAGCCACTTAGCTGAAGACAAAGTTGCCATAACTACAGTCACCACTAAGTTCAGAATACAGTGTGGCCTATGGTTTATAAACTTCTAATTCGGCCTCAGTGGTTAAAAGCTAGTGTACAACGTATAAACTCATGTGGCCGAGTAAACCTCTACAAAATCAAAACACTTTGTCCCCTCATGAAAGACCAAGGCCCATAGTCCTGGCGCCAACACAAGCCTCAGAAATTCCACATGTATTTTGTTCCCCAAAGTTTACTTCATGTCAATTTATCAAGACTCTAGTCTCGTGCACTAGATGTTAGGGTGTTTGAGAGACCCTCAAAATAGCACTCTTTTTCCCTTGGCTGAGTTCTGTGCTAATTGAGAAATAAGATAAAAGAGTAGGGCATTTGGGAAACCAAAATATCATCTCTTTTACTAATAAAGCTGTTTTGGAGAATGTGGGTAGTGAACTGCAGGCAAGTGAACTTCTTAACACTGTACCTCAGAATGTAACAGCCTTAACTTGGGGGCCTGCATTTATGGGGACGGGGTAGAGGAGAATGCATGCCCCCTAGGGACAGCTGGCTTCCAAAAAGAAGAGCGAGAAGGGGCTGAGCTCACATATCTTGTTTCTCCTTCCGAACTCACCATTCAGATAAGATCCTGTACCTCCTCTGGGGTAGAGTGTGTGGAGGTGGAGAAGAGCCAGGAGTGAGCCTCAGGAGAGGGAAGAAACATTCCTCTCTCCCAGCACGTTCAAATGGAAATGGCACAGAGATAATTGGTGTGTCTTTCTTGGTCAGCTATGCCTGTAATGCATCATCTAGGAAATACATCTATTTCAGTAAAGTAGAATGAGAGCTTAGACATTTGTGAAGCAATTTGCATACCAAATCTTTCTGGATATGTTACTGAATTTTCCCAGTGCTACCAATTTAATTTTCATTGAAAGAGCAATTTTGTTTTTGCACAAGTGTCATAAACAGGTGAGGAGCAAAACCAACTAGAGAAAGCCTGTTTCACTTGCTGTGAGCCTCAGTCATGTTTTGCAGGAGTGGGCAATGTCGGTTCATCTGGAATGAATGAGTGGGGGTTGATTGAGAGAGCTTTTACTGTACCAATTTTACATTTACATTTACCATAACATAAATACACACTGGTTCCCAAAAAGCCTCGTTAGGTGAGCACAGTAGATATTTTAATACCCCTTTTCCACCCAAATGGTGAGGAAACTGATTTCCAGAAGTGCCTACTTGGCCTCGGATCCTGTGGCTGGTTATTAAGAAGCCTGCATCACCAGGCCCCTGAGCTGCTGTATTCAAAAAGAGATTTCTCTGCACACAAAAAGGATAGAGTATTAAGCATCATTTAGCTTTTGTATTTTTTAGCTATTAGCCTTTAAAGTATTTGAAAGGTTTTAAAATATTCGTAACTACATTATAATGGAGATTTGTCAGTTTGAGTAATTATTCCTCAATAATTACATATTTAATGAACTAATTTGAATGTTGCATAAACTTTCAGTAGTTTCCTTTTGGTAAATTTTAATTCATAAAATTTTAATAAAATTTTACTTGACTCGTTTTATTCTTAGAGGAGAAATTATTTTTATTTTCTTAATCTATGAATAGCCTGTTCTCATATAAAAATAAATTAACTAACAGTTTATTAAGAAAATTTTCTTAAAATAAAACAAGTGGAATCAACCATTAGAGTGTACCTTAATTTCAGTTATAAAACACCATGAATATTAAACATAAATTATAAACCTAAGAAACCCAGCCAATTTCAAGAACTTAACCTAATATCTGGCATAACCTACAGCATAACAAGTGGTCCACTGCTTTACTTAGGCGGGCATCCTGTTTTCCGTGTCTGTACTATAAGAATGACTGAAGATTTCACTATCACCTCTGCCAAAAGTCAAATAAAAAGGAAAGTTATCTAGAACTGTTCAATGCTCCAGTGTCATAAACTTTTCCTAACTATCCTCCCCTGAGGCGAGGGAAACTCCCTCCCTACCTCTCCTTCCTTTCTTACCTAAGTTGCATGTGTATGTACGAACACACACACACACACACACACACACTCACTCACTCACACACTCACACTCACACTCAAGGCCATTGCTTCACAATATTTATGGTCTCAGTAATAGAATTTCAATCTAACCTTGGAAAAACAAATTTTTGCACTGAATTTCTTATGTATTTTTTCTCTTCTTACCTCTTTTAGGCAGTATTTGTGTGTTTCTGCAGAGTTTTGCACAGAGTCTGTTCCCATGCAAACCAATGAGGGAGAAGTATCGGAAGAAAGCAGTTCCAAGGTCAGTAAATTCTAAAGGTGCAAGCAGTCTGAGTAGAAATTAAGCAACAGGGGCAATGGATGAGTGGAGTGGGTGTATTATTTTAGGTAAATTTAGAAATTCGATTGATTTAAGTTAGAACATAACCTAAGATAGAGAAGATTTTTTTTCTTCTCAATATCCATTATTCGTTATGCTACATGACAAATTTAAAACAAAATTTACTGAGTTCATAGAGAACTTTATGATTCATTTGTAGATTCTAGTACTTTATCTTTTAATGTTTTATTTTATAAATTGTATATATTTCTTTGAAAATTTAAAACATAGCAA